CGGGCTATGGAGCCGCCGATCGTCTATATGTGAAACACCCGGTAACGGGTGTTTGCATTGGTCGGGTCTTTTCTGCCCGTGCGTGCCCGCTAGGGGGCGCGCGCGAGCAGAAAAAAAATAAACCCACCAATGCTGCAGTGCCGTCCGTTTTTTACAACGGGCGGACGGCAAGTGGTTAAAGGTACAGGGTATGAATCCAGCAGCACTGAAGGGGGTTCATTCTGGACTAAGACTTCCATTAAACTTGTTACAGTTTATTTGTCCCTTTTGTTTAATTATGTTAATGATGGGATTAAGATAGCTGACTCTAGGAGTAGATGAGTAGATTACCATATGATAGACACTCTATCAGATCACGTGTCTCCTCTCTTCCAATTCATTCATTAAGGCATCAGGGAGGAGGTGTCTGTTTGCATGCTATTCATGTTTGATTGTATTATGTTTTTAGACTTCCAGAACTGTATAAATCCTTTTCTGGTTTTCAGTTCTTGGTTTTCTTTTCAACATTGGTGTTGTCTGATGTTTGAGGAGTTTAACTTTCTGTCCTAATATATTGGTTCTGTCCAATAATTAGGCAGGTTTGGGCTGAGGACACTGGAATTCGGGTTCCAGCAGAGAGGAAGTGGATTTCTGACGGAGCTACCCAGTTTGGGTACCAGGCGGTCCGTCACAATTGGTGTCAGCGGTGGTATTTGAACCCATGCCTCCAGAGAGACTGGAGCCTAACCTCCTTCCCACTGACTTTGTGTCATGGATCGGAACTCACGGGTATGAACTGGAATCCGGTATGTGGACCCTTTCTACTACACTGGCAGGGACACTTAGAGAAAAGGGTCCAAGCAGTGTAGGCTGACGACTCCCAGAGCTGGAGTACCAGCCGGGAACAGAGCAGGTATGTGAATGAGGCAGTGGAAGTCAGCTTAAGCTGGAAGTTCAAATACAAGGCAGGGTGCTGCAATGCTGAGTAGGTGGCATGGGATGCTGAGTAGGTGGCATGGGGTCCCCCAGGATGTGGAATCTAAGGGCCAGCCGGTATTCGCCAGAGTTCCTGATGGTGGAGATGGGCTTGGCTGCGTGCTGACCCCAGGTTACAATCCCTAGGTCCACCCAACTCACCTAACAGGTACAGGGTACGAATTAAAGGTTAGGGACAGGCTGAAGACTTCCAGGGACAAACTGAAGCACAGGGTAGACTTTACACAGGGATTTCCAAGGACAAAAGCGAAGCACAAAGCAGCCTGTAGACAGGGATTTTCAAGGACAAGCCAAAGGTTCGGTACACGCAAAATCTTCCAGGAATTCAGGGTAAATCACAAATGGGGGACTCCACAACTAGCTTGGGAAAGCGTTGCTCGGCTGCGTGCCGTTCGCTGCCCTGAGTTTAACTAGAGACAGGAAGAGGGAGGATCCACAGGATTGGCCACACGCGGACTGCACTGATTGGCCGAGAAGCTGTATAAGAAGCAGCAGGAGAGGTCGGCCGACGCCTAAAGCTGCCAGACTGGTGCAAGTGTTAGTCAGGTTCAGAGCACATGCCTGGAGGACTATAAGCACCAGCACAGCCCTGCATGTCTGC